GCCTGGTTCAGACAATGGGTGTATTTATATATATATGAAATATTTAACAGTTGAAACATTATTAACTTGTAGACAATCTACGATTTGACATTATACCATACTTGATCGTTCCTGTAAAAATGGCATGCATTTTCATGTAAATTTATGTCTATATGAAAATACGAATTATTATTTCAAGTGATAAAATTTAGCATCATTCACAAAAGTCATCAAAAGTTGTGAATACAAGTGAAAACAAGTGTGAAACACCTCTGCTTTATTTAAATGAAATAATTCGTGACTGAAAATAGGAGTGCAGGAATACAAATATTGGTTGGAGAAAACGGATAACATAGTCAACAGATACCATTCTCTGAAAGTTTCAACTTGTATTTGGTAGTTTCACCGCATGAGATTAGCACTTCTGAATACCCTTCAAAGATGTCCTATGTCACCTCGATAATGTAGCGCCCGAACCGCTAACAACCGGATCAAGAAGTTACACCCAGAAGCGTATTTCGTAGAACAACCTGCTATGGTGATTGACGTTCGAATATAATCAAGGAGTATATGTAATTCAATGAAATAAACTCATTTAATTATAAGTCTTCAGACGAACTCCCCGGAATAATTTCAGCACCAAGTCATATTGATTCATTGGCCATCCATTGAATAACAAGATCCGAATAAATCTACTGAAAAAGCTATGGCTTTCACAGTGAAGCGTTCAGAAAAATCCTGCTTTGATTTTTCTTAAACACGCTGAGTTTAATTTGAATAATATATAGTATACTCATTTAATCTTTGCACGAAAGTAACAAGAAGACTATCACATATATCCTTCTGTCATCCAGGTCACACTCTATCATGGGGGAAAAGTCACCCTGAAATACTCTCGGGTGAATCACATGACGGACCAATCAATCCAGTCGATGAGAATGTCTGGCCATTTCTGTCAAGTTTATTCAGCGAAGTGTTGAGTGTATTTCCTGACCGTACCTTACTGTAGTAATTTATTGTACTTGAAATATTAATATACCGGGATGACGGAATTATAAGAATCTAAACAAAACCCAGAGAGGGCAGCAATCAGTAATTTGTATTTAGCGGAATTAGAATGCAATTCATATAAGAAACATATCAACAGTCAACAGTAAGTATTTAAACAATACAGAGATAGAAATTGTCAATCACCACATCCGCCACACCTCAAATATCTCCTTGCGTATTTATAACGATGTCTTGGTTTGCTTGCAAGTAGCTTCGACCTAACTGATTCTGTGATATTATTTCCATCAGTATTATCTGGACCTATTTCTGAATTATCTACAAAATCAGGATTATTAGCGGAATCAATAATATTATAATTGGAACGACCTACTTCATTTATTGTCACTTTGTCCAGGTGTCCGTTATGAACTGAGTGATCTTTGATGTCTAATATCTTCACCACTCGATTTCCCATTTTTTGTAGTATAATTCCAACAGAAGGTCTGTAGTTATTATCTTTGTAATAATGTACATTAGAAGTAGTGGACATCAGATGCTTTTTGAGAATTCGAGATTTGAATAGTTTTGCAGGACTTTCACAAGAACTTGTATGCTCTGGATTCACCAGACGTAGCCTATGCATATGCAGTAATTCCTCAATTTTATTCAGTTGCTCTCTCATCTCATTCAGGTCTTTTCGTGCTTTCGACAGTTCACATTGCAACTTAGCTACCTCATTTTTGAATACAGTTGATACTTGCGTTGCTGAACTTGCAGTGGAGGTTTTCGTTGGATTAGCTTGAGTATTTTGAAAAGTTGAAAGACACATAGACTCCATTTTACTAGACAGCTTGGGAGAATTATAAGAATGTTGAGCAACATAAGTATTTGAACTTCTGCAAACCGTCTTGATGTGTCCAACTTTACCACATTTGTGACACTTAGCACCCCGAAAACGGCAAGTGCTTCGTAGATGTAACTTTCCACAGGATAAACACGGTTTAATGTTTTTGATCTCTCGCTGCATTCTGTTACCTGTGGATGGCAGTTTGGATTGCTTTCCATTACCACTTGTATTTTAGACTTTAGAAAGCATAACATCAGACACTGACGTAGTGGGAGCAGAGTATTCATTATTGACATCTTCATATGTAATGCATACATCTTTAGCAGTTTGAAACGTACAAGAGGGAATCTGAATTAACTCTTTCTCTAATTTAGGAATGTTGATTCCAGCAATTAGACGATCACGTAGTTGTGTATGCAGCTGATCTCCAAAATTACACTTTGAGGCTTGAATTTGGAGTTGTAGTATAAAGTCTCTTATCTTCTGATTGGGAGAACGTACCAGTTTGTTGAACTGAGCCCTCTCTCTGGTCTCAAAAGTAGTTACATGGAAGTGATCGATAAGAAGTTCACGGAGCTTAGCATATGGCAGAGAAATGGGTTTATCTGGAAACGCCAGATTCTTCACCAGGCTATATGCATCAAGACCAATAGCGGTGATGAAATGAGCAGGTATTTTATCATCCCGAACATTCTTGGAAATGCACCACGCATCAAAGCATTCCAAATAATCAGCAATCTCCCGCGGAGAACCATTAAGAGGAAATTTTCCCAGGTTACTTAGCTCCATCTCGACGCCAATTTGTAGTAATTTATTGTACTTGAAATATTAATATACCGGGATGACGGAATTATAAGAATCTAAACAAAACCCAGAGAGGGCAGCAATCAGTAATTTGTATTTAGCGGAATTAGAATGCAATTCATATAAGAAACATATCAACAGTCAACAGTAAGTATTTAAACAATACAGAGATAGAAATTGTCAATCACCACACTTACATTTAGGTGGAAGCATTTATGACAGACATTCATGGTGAGTGTGCCGACGTTTTCCGATGTATGTTAGTTTCGCACATCCACATGGCTGAATGATTTCTTGTAAGGAAACTAATGCTATTCGGCTTCCTCATCATGCGAGGAATGGCCAAATAGCCAGATGTTTCCTAAGTTTAAGTTTCCGATAATCTTTGCTTTGTATCTCATATTCTCTGTTTGGTACTATCACTTTTAAAAGACATTGATACTTAGAGTCAACCGTGTTGAAGGTTATTCTCAGTTTTGGTTCAATTCGTAGCAAAATGTTTGCACAAATGTCGGGACTGGGAGGTGCCTGTAGGGATGAAACGCATAACAAATATCTGATTTGATCATCAAATAGTGAAGGTGGCTTCGATTCTTTAGACTACAAACTGGTCGAACCTGCATGAGTTGTGGCAACCTTACTGGTGACTTCTAGAACACCTGGAGAAAGCTACGATGGACACAAAACCGGAAGACTGTTCACCAAAGATTGCTTCAGAGTATTTCGTAAAACTTATCAAAACTCACATTTCCAAAATGGCTTAGATGAACAAGATTAGTCACATTAAGTTTCTACAATGGCAACCCAACATAAGGAACAAGATTCACATTTTCCACACCAATGTCAAGTCGGTCAGTTCTTCTATATAGGTCAGAAAATTGCACTGTGTATCACGAAAAGCATTTCCAACAAGTCACAGCAGACTTTCATCGACAGCCGCCTTCACTAGCTCCATAATGAAGATCATATGACCAGAAAGATTAAGTAACAGGAAACTGTGGGTAGAAACCAACCAAGAGCTGAACATTCAAGAAATATGTAGTAGGGAAATGGAGATAGATGGATCGGGGATACATTGAGGAGACAGTCGAATGACATCGCGTGCAAGGCCTGTGATCGAGTGAAATACCAATTGGGAAGCGACTAGTGGGTCATCGGTGCGACGGTGACATGGGGGAGGTCGTGTGGCTAAGAGGAGGAGATGAGAGATTGGAGGCAATCGTGGTCCAAGCTGAAGGAGATGGCAGAAGATAGGAAGAAGTAGAGGTGTGTTGTTGAAACCCTATGTTCCACTAGGATCCCAAGGGAATAATAATAATAATATCATAATAACCGTAAGGGTGAAAGAAGTATTGACTGTACTACCACCATACAAATTGACACAAATACTTAACCCGTGCACTAACCTAAACGTTTTCATCACAATTCAGAGAAATATAGAACAACGGAATTTATTTTGGATGTGATGTTGATAAGAAACAATGTGAATCTACCAGCTAGAAATACTGTCAACTCACGGATCCTGAAGCTGGTACAGCTGCCAGAAAACCAATAGACATAGCTCAGAAAAGCATGAACTGCAACCAAGTCGAAAATATCAGGAACCATATTGGCAATTCAGAGATTTTTTATTGTTCCACTGACAATAAACCAGCACTGCAAGACAATAACAGAACAAATGATTACAGCACTAAGGGTTACAGATTCATTATGTTGCGGGTTCATGTGTTACAGCTTCAGAGTCTATAAATAGATATCAGTAATACTTCTAATCGTATTGTTCCAGTCTTCTACCGAACAGCAAGCAACTAGATCACAGTAGGTATTGTAACCTCCAACAAAAAAGGAACCAGTTTGAATATCCCAGGTCATTGGACATTCATTCAATATTCACGATAGAGACAAACAAATTGTGCTCGAAACATCATCCAGTGAATAATATAATCTTACAGTGTATTATATCAAATCAACTTGTCTAATATGGAATTGCACTTTATCATAGTGCCTAAATTCTGCTCTAATATCAATTAATACTGTAAGTTCGATCTATAGTCTATAGAAAGTAATGTCGGTAGATGTGCATTCATCCGTGCCTATTGAGGCGTCAGATATGCGTTTCCCTTTACTTCGTCACATGTAAACTATGAAGTGCTTGACCAGATTTCTATTCTGGTGTCTTTATCTATTGAAAGACAAGTAGTTTCCTTGTTTCCCATTACACAGATGACACATACGAGTTCCGCATAGTCTGTCCTTTTAGCAATCTATTCATAAAAGAATGTGAGTAAAGTCGATCTGTAGAAGGTAACATGCATTTCTAACAAGAAACATGTTCTTCTGTTGTGTGTGTAGGCAAGAAGACGCCAACATCCAAGAATTCATGAAAGAGAAAGGATTCAATCAAGACTACAACAAATTAGAAAATTATTATTTTGAACGCCTCACAGAAGTTATTCAGAATATTACTTCAATGTCACAAAGCATGACACCTGTGGTGCGGCAGAATGTATTTGAGAATGGATTCCGAGTGAGTATCCTTCAGTTTAAAATTGCTGTTCATAACTTAATGCAATTTTATTCTCATCTAAATGACAAAATCAGCAACTCAGTTTTAATTTGGAATATTTTGAGCATGTGAATTTCGAAGCAGGTCATAAATACAATGAACAGAAGAAGGATATTAGCAGATCTTTCATCACATCAATGAAACATTGATGTACCAACTCGAAGAAACATCCGGAGGAACTTCAGCGATTTATTGGCTTTTTCTATTCATCCTTATCCTGCCTCATTGTTCTAGTCACAGCCTCTCTAAAATATTACCTCCTCTTCACCCCTACATGATATTACTGATTCAATTAAATTATAACTAAACATATAGAAGACTCAGAAAGTTAAGTGGTGTCAGGAATGCAAAAATACTTGTTGTAATTTTTTCGGTCTGCGATCTGATTACACTTTGGGCTACCAAATTTTCCATCACTTATATTTCCTATGATTACTCGGATTTATTTTGTTTTAATTATTCATTTATGTGTCCAAGCCGTATTATTTACTCTTGCGATTATTTCAAATGTTTCCAACCTGATGATGATTTCCGTGTTTACAATAACCTTAAGAAAAAGCATCATGGTGTGTGGCAACGATCCTTAAAGTGAACTCCAATGCATCAGATGACTGTTCCTGTGATTATGAGTACGAATTGCAGGTAATTGTCGAACAAGATTAACTTCTTGGATGCTATATTACGTTCAAATGTTTATCTCAACGCTTGAAGCGTTATTCCACCTGTATTACGACAAATATTTGAACGTAATATAGCATCCAAGAAGTTAATCTTGTTCGACAATTACCTGCAATTTGTACTCATAATCACAGGAACAGTCATCTGATGCACTGGAGTTCACTTTAAGGATCGTTGCCACCCAACATGATGCTTTTTCTTAAGGTTATTATAAACACGTAAATAATCAGGTTGAAAACATTTTAAATAATCACGAGAGTAGGTAATAGGATTTGGACACATAAATGAATAATTAAAACAAAATAAATCCGAGTAATCATAGGAAATATAAGTGATGGAAAATTTGGTAGCCCAAAGTGTAAGCAGGTCGCCTAGTTTAGATGGTGATATGTGAGATTGGCATTTCGAAATTTTTATATCTCTGTCTTAATTGAGTTCTTTCAAAGCATTAGGGTTGTGCCTGTCACCTCACTTCTTCTCTTAACTGCTATCTTCTGATCCATTACTGCTGTTTTTAATGGTCAATTTTATCATTTAAGTATTTAAAGTAGACGTTGTTGGCAAAAGACCACTGAGGTTGGATAAAATTTTATCAATTCGACATATATACATGTGGTAGTGCAGTGAGTTACCTATCGTGATAACTGAACAGTGTGAATTTCTTCTATAGTTCCTGAGTGGTAAGCCTCAACTAAACATATATTTTAGAGTAAACGAAACACTTGACTTCAGTGGATTAAAGCGAGAGAGGGACAGGTTGTACGACGAAGGCACCAATGAAATTAAAACTGGCAACCACAGGAAATGAGTGAACTCAGGTAAGTGACATCATAAGAATAAGTAATTCGTTGGAGTGGTGTAAAATTCTGAAACATGACACTTGCATTATTTAAGCTTTCATTAGAGGGAGATGTTGGGGCAGAACCTAACATGATACCCGCTTTATTCAAGGTTTAACTAGAGGAAGATGGTAGGTCTGAGTTAGGTTAGGGTTGGACAGGATAAAGGTTGGTTAACTGTAGATTGGAGTTAGTGCTGAGTTAGGCACTATGACTCCTCTTCTTAGTAATGTTGATCTTTGCGAATTCATTGGTACGTTTCCTCCCCTTGGGTAGCTCCCCTTTAACTTAGTACCGTATTATAGATGAGAAGACGAACACAGCTCACAAACCTCTGGCTGTGAGTTGTCTTGGGCTAAATTCCGTCAAAGCACTATGGAAATGTGTGCAAAGGAGAGCGGTAGAGCTGTGTAAAAGTCAGTCCTGGCTGAGGCAGAAATAAACAGCTCTCAGATGTACACAGCAGGGTAAAAATAGTTACAAAATAGTGGAATATCGACATTCACAAGGATTATATATTCATTCGGAAATCACTAATTCTTGTCTCGTGTTGGCAGTGAATGTTTTTCAAAGTATGACGTATACTACTTTATTGTGACGAGTAGTATACACCTAAACGTGAATAAAAGCAGCAATATTGGATCAGAAGATGCCAGTAAAGAGAAGAAATGAGGCGACAGGCACTATCCTAAAGCTTTGAAAGAACTCTTTTAAGACAGAGATAATATGAATTCCGGGATACCAGTCTCACGCACACAATCATCTAAATATTGTTAATATTTAATATTTTACATTACCAGAGCAATGAAAATGCTGTCATCATACAAGTTCACAATAATTCCGACTGGGAAGCTGTCACCAAGTCAAACACATCATCTGGATACAGAGTGATCAATTCAGCGTGTTGGTCGAAAGTTGTTAGGAATTTCGATGATGCATGGAAGACGCTAAACGATTGTGATCCTGCTGCATTTGGAGGTAATTTTGATGTTATTTATGAATAAGTTAAAAATTCGGCGAAAAATTAATGATGGAGAATGGATGGCTGTTTCCATCTGTTTACTGGTTAGCCTCTGACAACCTTCCATGCAGTGGATGTGGTGGCTTGTGAAAGTATGATGTTCCGGTATCTAGATTTGCCATGAAGCAGATGTTAGGCTTACAGTAGACATTTGACACTTGTCAATTATCGACGTAATAAAGTGTCTCTATATTAATTTGTGTATATACGGTTCAGTGGGATCAGGAGATATTCTGTACCGGCAAATGGAGCGTGGAATAAAGAGTGCTTCAGACACGTCTATAGTGGATGACACTCTGCATGAAATACAGTAGAATTGATTAACCAAGAAAATCTGAATTGCATTGTGTATTACTAAGATTGGAGTGGAGATTTGTGAAATCGACAAACGGTAGAGTATCGACATCCTTCCACATGCTCAAAGATAAACACACAGGATATATTCACCATTATTGTTCCAAAGTGTCAGGAAGACATTTTTCTGATGACACCGTAGCATATTTTGCTCTAACAATTTTTGTAATACTGATGAATGGTTGTGTTTCTTCTCATTGTAAATAGGTAGTGAAGAAGAAGCTCAATTGGTTATTGGTGGTGAAGTCATCATGTGGGGAGCATATGCGGATGACACAAATCTCTTTCTACGATCATGGTAAACAATTAACTATACATATGTATTCAATGTGCCAGACGGGTGTTTTCATCTCTAATGTGCATCAATCATTCAAGATTGAATGAACATTGAATTTTCTATTAATTTGGCGTCAGAACTCAACATAATTGGTTCATGAAATGTCAAATTCCTTTAGATTGATATGAAGAGCTGTGATGTGTAATTGACACCACTGCATTACACTATTACTACTGTTATTACTGTGATGAAAATTAATTTAATGACTGTCTTGTGAATAATTTCAAAGTAAGAGTACCATGTTTACAATACAGTTGGAAAGGATCTAGATGCACAGATACACCCATTTTATTCTCTTGTCATTAGGTATTTATCAGACAAAACATCCCTGTTGCCACGAAAACTAGCCTTAGTGAGCGATGGAGTGAGTGAGTGAGTGAGTAAGTCTCCAAACAGACAGGGCTGAAGTGAATAGCTACATACTGCTGAATATGAAAAATAATCATTGTGCTAGGACTGATAGGACTGATTAACTGATCGGTCAATCCTGTGTACTTCTCAGATCAAAATATAATTAAAACAAAAGTAACCAGAGGAATTTTTTCACGTTTACGATATAAAGTCAGGAATATTTGAAGCACTAATTGAGAGAATTAAATTTAATAATAATAACAATAATAATAATAAAAGTGAGTTTGTTTCAAACAGTATTGTCGATTCAGTTTGCAAATTGTAGAATGTTATGGATTATTGAATCTAATCTTCTGCTAATAGAGTATAGTGAGGCTAAATACAAGATTAACAGCTATTAACACAGCTTAACTGATGTTCACACTTATGAAAAAATAACCAAAAACAAAAAACTGAGAGGATTATACATATAAGAAGTACAATAACAATAAAGCTTAGTGTTGTAAGGCTGGAGGAAATGGTTGATTTAGTAGTGCAAAGAAGGTTAGCTAGTTCATACCTGACACCATTTTCATCATATAAAGTATGTGCCACAAAATATGGTATGGTGGAATTTTTATACGTAGACGTACGTGCATAAAGTCTTCTAGAAAGACTACTTGTTTTATCTGAGGAGACGCAAGGCTGGAGTTGCGGGTAGAGTGGGTGCTCAGAGTTTGACAAAATTCCTTTAGCGTATTTGTTGCATGACATCAAGTGCCTATCAGTGACATTGTCAACGATATGGATCAACGGGACACCACTCGTCCTACTGACAGTCTTCAGAGTCCTACATAGTATGACAAAATCTTTTTTAAGCAATCCAGGAAAGAATAAGGGTGGACAGTAAAGAAGAATAGATAAAATACACGAGTTGACAAACTGTATCAAGAGGAGGGGTTGGTTTTGACTGAGTGCCTTGACTTTTTAATGTAAAAAGTCAGATGAAATATATTTTTAGGTATCGCTAGGATATGGGAAAATCAGGATAGGTCAGAAGAAAGCATTAATCCAAGATACTTTACTTCAGACTTGGTTTCAATATCAGTATCATCAGTTTTGCAAGCATCACAGGAATCATCAGCTTCATTTAACTTTCGTTTACATCGGAAACTGTAATTAACAGTCTTACATTTGGAAGGAATTAGTTTAGGGCCGTTAGACAAAGACCATTTGCTAATTCCTGACAGAAAGCTGTTCATCTTAGTACAGTCTAGTTGGGAGTTAACATACATTGAAATAGTTAGATCGTCGGCATACTTACCAAAGTTCATTTGATCATAGTGAGGCAAATCATGCAAGAAAGAAAACAGAAAAGGAGAACGGAGAGCACCTTGAGGGACACCAGCCTCAGTAAGCAATGAAGTGGACGACGTTCCATGACATACAGGCTAAGGACAGGTTAGGAATAAGTTAACCCATAAGGGTGACATTAGGGTTTGTTCGAGTTAGATTAGGGTTAGTTTAGCGACATTTTCACCATATGGTTAGGTTAGAGAAAGAATAAGGTTCTTGTTGTTATTAGTTTTATAAGACCTAGGTAATTACATACATAAATATGCTTAAATTATTCTGCTGCTACACCAATCCCACATTGAAAGGTATTTTGTTACATATCAGAGGGTGGTATGCTGCGTAACGGTTTCATGCCTTTTAATTCATTACTTTCATAAATATATTCGTTTTATACGCGAAATTGCCTTTAAAGTGTGGCTGGTGCTTTCAGCGTCATTTGTCCGTTGGTACTTCCTGGTACTCAGAATTAAAACGTGGCCGATTTGATAATTGTTTCTGACATTTTAAGTACACAATCCCACTACCTGGGAAATGAAAATAACCACCTGAAGGCTTCAGTCATTCAGTTATGTCTTCGGATCACAAAGTGCATTCGTGAACTTTTGTCTTTTAAGTGGTTTTCAACCGAATGTCATGCATTTCTTGAAGAAGACGAAGAAGAATAAATATCATTGGAGATTGGTGATTACTTCAGGTCATAGGACAGTACACCACGCGATCTGCTACCAATAAACATTTTACCTGAGGGTCCTGGAAGAAGGCAATAGGTTATGCAATAAATTCTGGTGAGAATTTTGTACAGCATATCGACACTTTTCAGAATAAAACCATTAGTATTGGTATTATTATTAGTATATCAAACTACTCACATCGATCAAACAGTAGTACATAAAGTCGTCAATAAAGGGTATCTGCAACCTCGAGATTATACTGTGCAATAACACAACTAACACCAGCATTTCAGATATACACCATCACTTGAAATTTGAATGGCACAATCTAATCTGTATTACGAAGCTAGAAAGCGTTTATTTCATACTGTCGTTCAATGTACACAGAATCTACTTCTCTACTCAGAACTACATTCAACCATTTTATTCTTGACATGTATTACAAGCACATTTCATTTTACTTTCAAATCAAATGGAATAACTTCGCTGACAATATGTAAAGGCCGATAATTGCTGTGGCTGCTGAACGTCTTTGATCAATCGACGCTGGCGATTTTCATGATTTTTCAAAGGGATTGAAGAGGCTCCATTGTCAAATGATACTGTGAGTGAAAGCTGCTTATTTTTAATTTATGAATTTAAAATTAGAAATGAATATGGTGGGTGGGAACAAACCGAATAACAGAAGGTGGTGTTAGAAGTGTACTCATAACTGTAATGGCCGATTACATGCACATTTGGATATGTTGTCAACTTCTCGAAGAATTGTACCTGTCGTCTAACCGGTGATTTCACTGAGATGGAGATTGAAAGTGACAGATGATTTCTGATATATCACCAGTAACACTCATATGGCTGAGTAGTCAAATGAAGTAAAGGGTTTGCTCTGAAGCTGTGAGTAATAAAATAAGTCCGCCAAAATGAAATTCATTCTCACAATGATGTGCAGATTTGTATCAGTGTGACACGCAAATAGGGAGTTCTTCTGCTCGATTTAATCGCGTCCAACATCTTAGAAATAAGATGATCACATAACTCATGAATACAAACAACTGTATCATCTTCTAATCAGCTCATAAGTAGACAGAGGATGGTGATGCAGTATTCAGTAGTGAATATCTGTCCTACTGACTAAGGACACTTAGCCTACTAACGGTTAATTGGCGTTTATGACACAGTAATCAGAAGCGATTTCTTTGAGACAGTGTTACCGTACTGCTTCAATATACATTTCGAATATTCCAGTCAACCTCACTCAGAAACACAGACAAACCCCCCCGTGTTGCACATTTATTTGTTAGCGATTTGTCAGTGGATGATAATGTGTGGAAATCGAATTCAACACTGGTCACTATTCAAAGTTTGTAGATTTTAACACTCTACTTGCAGTTTGCAAATGTTGGGGCTTAAATTTAATCACAGTTTCCCTGGGACTGGCAAGTTTTCAGAAGACAAAACAGTGTATACCATCTTGGTAAGATTAAACGGCAGTCAAGAGGGCAAGCATATTTGCATGATGCTGTTTGCTGCTGACTGATCGATACGAGTGATCGACTGACCAGTTGGTTACTGCTCACGTTGATTAGTTTAGCTGAGATCAACAATGAATAGTGTGTGTCTGTGAAGTTTGAATCAGCTCAGAAAGTAAAACGGGTTAATGTGAATGGTATGCGTTCGATAATACCAATATCAATCAGTCGTGTGTAGGTGACTGCGGGGCTTGTTTGACTGGCTGCAACTCGTGGTATGAAGCAGATCACATGTATATTTCATGGTCTGATAAATCTTAGTTTTCGAAGAAACCTGTGGTGAATTATCATATCGAAAATTAGATAATTTTGCAAATGGCGAAATAGCCGCAATTATGGAACAAATTAGAATCACTGAATTACTAGTTCGCTTTATTAGTTGGTTAGATTTCGGAACTGTTTCAACCGATTTAGATCTCTAAGTGTTGAGTCACACTGAACACACACACGGCTGATCAACTAATTACGAAGCCAGTGAAATGGCTATCCGATGTTTACATCAATTTTAGATGTAGCGAGTAAACACTGTTGGTTCATCTGCGTGTTCTCCAGCTACTGACATCTAACTATTTATCAGTAGTATTTATCTTCACGCATTCAACAATAACTGAAAGTAGGCTGCCATCAGAAATGGAAGGAATTCGTGTGTGGAGTGTAAAGAAAAGTCGGTTCAATGATTTATTGGATTATTAAACGGGATATAAGTGAATAACTAATCGTGCTCAATCCATGAAATCAGTTCAAGTGTGTTTTCAAGGCACAGCTCCAAGAAAATTAAGAATGTCCTATCATGATCTATCAGGCAAAGTAACTGACTGTGATCAGTGAACGTCAATTTGAAAATCACTCACTTGTGCGAGTTCACCACATACTAAATAATGTCATATATGACTAAAAGGAATATGAACCAACAGTAAATGACAGGAGTATCTAATTTCAGAGTCGTTTGTGTTCACTTCATTGCACACAGAAACACCTTCCGAATACTGGACGAGTGATTCACTACGTCTTGTGATTTCAAATTAAGATTCCCTTGAAATGTTGACATGCACAGTAAGTTTACTGCTGGCAGTTCTGACTCTGAGAATTTTGAAATCTGCTTACTCACTCTTACTAGAACAACGCCTATTAGGGTTGTTGTGTGTGTAGACAGGCGAAATTCATTCCTCTTACAGCTGTTGTTTATGTTTAACCACGAGGATCATCAATCCTGCTTCTTATGGAGTTGAATGTCTC